AGCTCGAGCAAGAATTCGAGTTTTACCAGAGCCATATGGACCATAAAGAATAACAGGAGGAGGGCATGCTAAAGGTGAGGGTTGAGATGAATCTGATGTGATCATCCTTAGAGCTTTCAGCTGGTTATTTTCATCTAGTTTCATGAAGAAGGATCTAGAATATTGCAAACCAAACATGAGGAACAAGCTGCTAAAAGACATGGCATCAGGTAGGAGACATCGCTTTATGTAATCTGGAGCTATCACTACTGCATGCTGAAGGTGATCAAAGTAAGAATGCTTAACTTCAAACTCAGCACGGACATTAATCTCACGTCCATCTTCAACTTTAGAACCTCTTCTTAATGCTTGTAGAATTTTTTGAGTATTATGGGCAACAATGTACATGCGGTTTTCAAGATGATTGAAGTTGTATGAATGCTTATATGCCACAAAGATACCATCTCTTCCAACAATTGTAACTCTATCACTTGCTTGTGTGGCATACTCTATTTTGTCATCAGTGAACTCCTTATCAGAAATATAACCGTAATAAGAGAGGGGATTTTGAAGAAGATGAAGTGGAACATTTTGGCTATCATATATTGTAAGCTTATAATTTGCACCATCACATCTATGTGTACAATTAAAATAGTTTTAATATTAGCACAGTTATAAATTTACATACTTTTCCTCAAGCTTTTTCATGTGCTCATTTTCTTCCAGCCACAACATCTCAAAGAAATGATCTGCATAGGTTTCAGGCGTCAAATGACCTTGTGACTTTGTCAATTTTGGTTGATTTAATTGTCGTTCTTCAAATATTGCTTGCCATGGGACATCTTGTTGTTGAAGCAGCTTGCTTCTTGGCCTTCTTTGTTTTGAACTTTGTCTTTCATTAGACTTTGGATCTTTAATACAAAGCCATAAACAACCTCTTTCCAAAATAATAATATTATACCTTCTGATTCTCTCTGTGTCAAAAGATAATCAAGAACACCATTGATGGAAGGGTTATGCTCATCACTTGAATTGTACAGCCCATATATTATATCTTCATAACGGAGTTTTTTACTAATGCAATATTCCAGCAGCTTCTTTTTCCTTCCTAGTTTGCTTCCTCCCACTTCTTTAATATGATCCAGTGTGCTCTCCTCTACTTTCATATATTTACCAAACGTATACCAATCCTTTCCAATGAGCTCTGCAATCGCATCAACATTTTCCTCTCTGATATTCTTTTGAAGGTCGGCAACTACAAGGCCTTTTGCTAAAAGTTGACTTTTAATTTTCTGATAGAAATCTAAAAACAAGAGATACGACTAGCTATTAGCTACATACATGTATCTTATGAATACATACTTTCTTTCATTTCGCTTTCCTTTTGTTTTTCCATTTCTTTTCGCTCCTCTTCCTTTTCTAAAAAAACTAAACAATTATATCAAATATGAGTTTGAGTTACATAAGGTTCTTACAATCTTTAAGTAAATCCAGTGCCTGGTCAATCAAGTCAACTCTATCAG